TAGATACAATAATGTGAAAGAAAAAAATTAATAAATTTGACTTTATTACAATTTAAAACTTTTGCACTGAAAAAAAACAAAAACAAACAAACAAACAAACATAAAACCTCATTAAAAGAATGAACAAACAAGCCACATACTGGTAGAAAATATTTGAAAAAAAAAATTGGATATAGGACTTACATTCAAAATAGACAACTCTTGAAGCTCAATGGTAAGAAAATAACCCAATTTAGAAAATGGACAAAAGATCTGCCGAGACCAGCTCAGTCGTGCAGACCCCAACCTAGGCAGTGCTAAAGGAATTAAGAAACAGATACAAAGACAGAGTGCAAAAGTGGGATCAGAGTGGGAGGCTGGGGGGCTGACAGCATTTCCCAGCTGAGAGCCCAGAGCAGACTCTGACCCACGTATTTATTCTTTGTGAACAAGTGATTACTTTTAATAAGGAGGTGCTCAGTGTTTCTTCATAGAGTTAAGATAGCCTAAACAGGCGGAGAGTGCCTGTTCACTGCTAAAACAGAAATAAGCTAGAAAGCACTCTTTGTAAGGAAGCAATGGGGACAAGGTCATATATTCTGTGTTTTGGGAGCTGGTTTAACTAGTGCATGACTAGTACACATTGCTTACTATTCTAGCAGTTTTCTGCCTGGGGATGGCTCAGTGTTTCTTGCCATCACCTCTCAGCAAATAACATATACTCCATCACACACGTCAAGACCTCCTCCCAACAACAAACACTTTACCACAGATGATAGGCAGATGACAAACAAGCATATGAAAAGATGCTCAACATCATATGTCATTAGAGAATTACAAATTAAAATGGCAATGAAATATCCCTACACACATATTAGAATTGGTGATTTTTTTTTCTTTTTTGCATTTTAGGTTTTGGGGTACATGTGAAGAACATGCAAGATTGTTGCATAGGTACACACGTGGCAGTGTGATTTGCTGCCTTCCTCCCCTTCACCTATATCTGGCATCTCTCCCCATGCTCTCTCTCCCCCAACTCCCCACCCCCCGCTGTCCCTCCCCTTTTCCCCCCAACAGACCCTAGTGTGTAGTGCTCCCCTCCCTGTGTCCATGTGTTCTCATTGTTCAACACCCACCTAAGAGTGAGAACATGCGGTGTTTGATTTTCTGTTCTTGTGTCAGTTTGCTGAGAATGATGGTTTCCAGGTTCATCCACGTCCCTACAAAGGACACAAACTCATCATTTTTTGATGGCTGCATAATATTCCATGGTGTATTTGTGCCACATTTTTCCTGTCCAGTCTATCATTGATGGGCATTTGGGTTGGTTCCAGGTCTTTGCTATTGTAAACAGTGCTGCAATGAACATTCATGTGCATGTGTCCTTATAGTAGAACAATTTATAATCCTTTGGATATATACCTAGTAATGGGATTGCTGGGTCAAATTGAATTTCTATTTCTAGGTCCTTGAGGAATTGACACACTATCTTCCACAACGGTTGAACTAATTTACACTCCCACCAACAGTGTAAAAGTGTTCCTATTTCTACACATCCTCTCCAGCATCTGTTGTCTCCAGATTTTTTAACAATCGCCTTTCTGACTGGCACGAGATGGTATCTCAAAGTAGTTTTGATTTTCATTTCTCTAAGATCAAGTAGGATTCATCCCCGGGATGCAAGGCTGGTTCAACATACGCAGTCTATAAACATAATTCACCACATAAACAGAACCAAAGACAAAAACCACATGATGATCTCAATTGATGCAGAGAAGGCCTTTGACAAAATTCAACAGCACTTTATGCTAAAAACCCTCAATAAACTAGGGATTGACGGAACGTATCTCAAAATAATAAAAGCTATTTATGACAAACCAACAGCCAATGTCATTTTGACTGGGCAAAAACTGGAAGCATTCCCTTTGAAATCTGGTACTAGACAAGGATGCCCTCTCTCACCACTCCTATTCAATATAGTACTGGAAGTTCTAGCCAGAGCAATCAGGCAAGAAAAAGAAATAAAGGGTATTCAAATAGGAAAGGAGGAAGTCAAATTGTCTCTATTTGCAGACGACATGACTGTATATCTAGAAGACCCCATCGTCTCAGCCCAAAATCTCCTGAAACTGATAAGCAACTTCAGCAAAGTCTCAGGATACAAAATCAATATGCAAAAATCACAAGCATTCCTATACACCAATAACAGACTTAAAGAGAGCCAAATCAAGAACAAACTTCCATTCACAATTGCTACAAACAGAATAAAATACCTAGGAATACAACTAACAAGGGATGTAAAGGACCTCTTCAAGAAGAACTACAAGCCACTGCTCAACGAACTAAGAGAGGACACAAACAGATGGAGAAACATTCCATGTTCATGGTTAGGAAGAATCAATATCGTGAAAAGGGCCATACTGCCCAAAGTAACTTACAGATTCAACACTATCCCCATCAAGCTACCAATGACCTTCACAGAACTGGAAAAAATCACCTTAAACTTCACATGGAACCAAAAGAGAGCCAGCATAGCCAAGTCAATTCTAAGCAAAAAGAACAAAGCAGGAGGCCTCATACTACCGGACTTCAAACTATACTACAAGGCTACAGTAATCAAAACAGCATGGTACTGGTACCAAAACAGAGATATAGACCAATGGAACAGAACAGTGGCCTCAGAGGCAACACAACATATCTACAACCATCCAATCTTTGACAAACCTGATAAAAACAAGCAATGGAGAAAGGATTCCCTGTTTAATAAATGGTGTTGGGAAAACTGGCTAGCCATGTGCAGAAAGCAGAAACTGGACCCCCTCCTGACACCTTACACTAAAATTAACTCCAGATGGATTAAAGACTTAAGCATAAGACTTAACACCATAAAAACCCTAGAAGAAAATCTAGGCAAAACCATTCAGGACATAGGCATAGGCAAGGACTTCATGACCAAAACACCAAAAGCATTGGCAACAAAAGCCAAAATAGACAAATGGGACCTAATCAAACTCCACAGCTTCTTCTGCACTGCAAAAGAAACAGTAATTAGAGTGAATCAGCAACCAACAGAATGGAAAAAAAATTTTGCAGTCTACCCATCTGACAAAGGGCTGATATCCAGAATTTACAAAGAACTAAAACAGATTTACAAGAAAAAAAAAAGCCCGTTCAAAAACGGGCAAAGGATATGAACAGACACTTTACAAAAGAAGACATACATGAGGCCAAAAAACATGTGATAGAATGGGTAAATTTTTTAGAAGCTGACATCAAATGCTAATGAGAATGTGGGTATGTAGCCATAACAACGTTCATTCATTGATGATGGAAAGGCAAAATGATCCAGCCACTTTGGAAGACAGTTTTAAAGTTTATTACAAAGCTAAACATAGTCTTATTGTTACAAGATCTTTGGGGTATCTCTTTTCTGACTGGAAACTTTTGACCAGTGGTGCCTTTGCCCAAGTTTTCCTCAGGCCCACTGGGCTCACTCTGCCCACTCAGCCTGGCAGGCTGCACTTGTTTCACACTATCAGCCTGTATCCCATGCCTCCAAGGGAGACTATGAGTCAGGCATGAAGCAGCAACGGATGTGTGAGCAAGTGTGGGGTCCAGCACTGCACAGTAAGACACACCGACTGCTGCTGTGGGGTGAGCAGCTCCAGGTGCTGGCCTGGATGCCGGCTCTCTGTGAGACTGTGGCTGAACCAGATGCACCACAAGAAGCTTCCCCAGCTGGCACAAGGGAATGCAGTGGTGCACAGAAGCTTGGAGACCCAGGAATCACAAGGCCCCAAAGAGGTAGTCACAGTCCTAGCTTGGGGAGCACCCTGGTCTGGGATCCCCAAAGGACCACAGCTTTTCTCTCCTTCTCTTTGCCCATGTGGCAAGCAAGGGGCATGTTTCAGCCCTGTTTGTGTTACAGTTCTTTTTAGCTTCACCATTTAGTGGGTCTCAAGTTCTTGTCTTGTGACTAGGAAAAATGAAGTATGCAGACAAGTGGAGGGTGAATGAGATGAAGAGGAGCTTTACTGAGCAATATGGAACAGCTCAGAGGAGAACTGCAGTGCGTAGCTCCTTTCTGCAGCCAGGGGGTCCCCTTGAGTGTTCAGCTCCTAGAAAAGAGAAGAGCCTGGAGTGAGAAGCTCCTCTCTGCCGGCAGGTCATCCCATTGCCTCTGCAGCTCTCAGCAGAGAGGAGGCCCTAGAGGGGGTAGCCTCTCTTAGGCAGGTCATCCCATCATCTCTTCATCTCTCCATCCTCTTCCCAAGTCTGGCCAAGTCCAGGATTTTTATGGGCAGCAGAGGGGAGAAAGTACGTGCTGATTGGTCCATGGGCGGCCATAGGCCAGCACAGGGAAAGGCACCAAAAGTCCCCCTCTGGTTCATGGAACTGTCAGTCCAGCCACGCAGCTTCAGGCCTTCCCCAGCTTGAAGATGGGGCTTCACCAGGGATCTGGCCCTTTCCACCCAGCAGCTTGTCTGCCTCCCACCACTACTTATGGCACCCAGGCTGTTCGTGCCAAAAGGTGCCTATAGGCCAGCCCTGAGCTGCCCTCAGTGCCCCCTCCTCAGCCTCCCTCCTATGCTCATCAGTGCCCAAAGTAAAGAGGGGGCCAAGGTGACAGGGCCTGGCATTTAAGCACTGCCCCAAGCATACACACACCCAGCTGGGTTGCAACAGCACCTGAGCTTGGCCCCAACCTTACTCTGAGACCAGAGCATAAACTGACAGCAGGGAGAAGCCAACCAGCAGAAGCAGGCACTTCCAGGCCTGCATTGGCAGGGGGCTCCTTCCCAGGCCCCTGAGAGTGCAGAGATGCCTGGATCTGCAGCCACAGTAGGCTGACTTTCAGGCTGTTCTTGGTTTGAGGGAGTTCCACCAAGGATCCACCCTGCCTGCCTGCCTGTTTGGCTGCTTCTTTCCTCCTTTCTCACTACCTGTCTCCTTCTGGCTCCCTGGCTCCCTCTAAGACTCCTCCCATTTCCTTCTGGATAAGGCAGTTGTTTCAATTTTAATAAGTGAAATATGAAACAGAGAATCACCATTTCTGCCTCAAGACGCATGTAGAGAGGTGTAGATTCAGGTGAGTTCCTTTACAAACATTTAAATCTTATGTTTTCCTCTAATTTTAATAGCCTGTATCAGGAGTTCTTAAGCTTTGCTGCACATCAGACCCACCTACAGGGCCAGTAAGTATGCAGATTCCTGAGCTACCTCTGGAAGCTCTGATTCCTTTGCAGTGGGGATTTCCCAAGAAACTGCATTCCCTTCAGAAAAGCTGATCTGGGCAGGGCACAGTGGCTTATGCCTGTAATTCCAGCACTTTGGGAGGCCAAGGCGGGAAGATTACTTGAGTCCAGGAGCTCCAGACCAGTCTGGCAGATTTCTTGAGTCCAGGAGTTCCTCACCTAACGTGGTGAGACCCCATCTCTACAAAAAATACCCAAGAAATTAGCTAGGTGTGGTAGCACATGTCTGTAGTACCAGCTACTCAGGAGGCTAAGATGAGAGGATCACTTGAGTGAGGAGGTTGAGATGTTATCATGCCACTGCATTCCAGCATGGGTGACAGGGCGAGACCCTGTCTCAAACAACAAAGAAAAATTGATCTGGGGACCATACTTTGAGTAGACCTGACATATAAATAATATCTTTCTTATGCTAAAGGAAGTAAAGAGGTTTATTTGGCTACACATCTTTATGTAATGCCTTGCTATTACTGGTGGTTGTATAATTTAGAGCTGTCTTTCTCAATCTAAATTATGTTACAGTACAGAAAGCTAAATTCACTCCCTTAGAGTTGAGGTGGGCCACGGAGGTGGGGAGGGGAGGAGACAACAGCAAAAGGGAGCCAGGCCGCTGAATGTAACTTGGAGAGGTTGAGACTTGCCATCATTTTCCTTTTTACCAAAGCCCTCCAGGTGCAGAGCATGACTGCCTCTGAAATTTTTGAGTAAATGAGTTAATAACCAGCAAAAAACTGATTTTTATAGATGCCCAATATCTCTTTTATTTCTAATTTGCTGAGAATTTGTATGTTGAGCTTTGTCAAATGCTTTTCTGCATTTATCAGAAAAGATCAGATAGATTTGTTTGTATTCTATGAATATGATGACTTAAATTGATTGATATTCGTGTATTAAAACAATCTCATATTTCTAGGATAAACTCAATTTTGTTATGTTATACTATTCTTTTGAAATGTATTGCTGAATTTGATCTTCATTAAGATTTTTTTATTTCATTAAGAATTTTTCTGTCTTGGCCAGGCGTGGTGGCTCACACCTGTAATCCCAGCACTTTGGGAGGCCGAGGTGGGTGGATGACAAGGTCAGGGGTTCGAGACCAGGCTGACCAACATGGTGAAATCCTGTCTCGATTACAAATACAAAAAAATTTGGCTGGGTGTGGTGGTGCATGCCTGTAATCCCAGCTATTCAGGAGAATCACTTCAACCTGGGAGGCAGGGGTTACAGTGAGCCAAGATTTTGAGACTGTCTGAAAAAAAAAAAAATTTTTTTTCTGTCCTTTTTTAGGAGGAATATTATTCTGTAGTTTTCTCTTATTGTAATTTGTTGGTCTAATTTTGGTATCAGGGTTATTCTGTCCTCATAAAAAGAGTTAGAAAATATTCCATCTTTTATTTGTTAGTTTCTGTAAAACCGGTGTTATTTCTTCCCTAAATGTTTAAAAATGTCGCTAGCAAAGTCCTCTAGTTCTAAAGTTTTCTTTGTGGTAAGGATTTATATAGTTAATTCTATTTCTAGAACAAACGTAGGGCTATTCACATTTGCCATATCATTCTATATCAGTTTTGATATGTTGGATTTTAAAATAAATTCATCCATTTAATTTAAGTTGTTGGATTTGTTAACATAAAATTGATCATAATATTTATTTTGTTATTCCTGTAAAGTCTATTAAGATCTGTAGCATATTCCCTCTCTTTGTTCTCAATCTAGATAAGGTTTCATCAGTTTTTTGGTGTTTGTTTCTTTGGTTGGTTTTTTCTTTCTTTTCTTTGAGACAGAGTCTCACTCTTGTTGCCCAGGCTAGAATGCAGTGACACGATCTCAGCTCACTGCAACCTCCACCTCCCGGGTTCAAGCAATTCTCCTGCCTCAGCCTACTGAGTAGCTGGGACTACAGGTGCCTGCCACCAAACCTGGCTAATTTTTGTATTTTTAGTAGAGACAGGGTTTAGCCATGTTGGCTGGGCTGGTCTTGAACTCCTGACCTCAGATGATCCACCTGCCTTGGCCTCCCAAAGTGCTGGAATTACAGGCATGAGCCACTGCACCTGGCCTT